GATTTAGATAAGTGATCGATTCCAATCGATAAATACAAAGTGTTTGACATGAATGGAGTGAGAATATGAGTAATAAAGAAACGCGATGCGTATTGTTTACGAGGTGGGTTGAGGCCGATCAGAGAAGTGTCATGTTTCATTCAGATGGAAGGCTTGGATTCGTGTAAGGCGAATAAAGGCAGGTGATTAATTATAAATACTGATTAGACGTGTTAAAGACTTAATAGAATATCAATCAAAGGCGCGAGCGCGCGCGCTTCTCGTCCTCGATGGATCTGCGGACCCGAAAATCGTGTCGGGTCCGATCCGATCTGATCTGATCTGATCTGCGGGTCTCCGGAAAAATGTGTTGTGTCTTAATGGAATGTTAAATTATTGCCGCGCATTAAGCGATACATCAATTTAGATATAGATAACGGACGACCATTTACATCGACGATTTAATTGATGAACAAACAGGTCTCCATTACTGCTTCCTCGTCTTCCTTCCACATTCGCCACCTGCACAAGGATACAAACGCAGAAAAGCTTCATACACACTCATCAAAGCTTTCAAACTAAAAAATCTAAATAAACCGCATACAGTTTGTTATACTTAATTAGATTGTTGGATTTAAATTAATTGAAATCTAATATATTTAAAAGAAAAATTGTTAATTATTAACTAAAATAAATATAAGCAAAATAAAATAATTCATCAATCTGTTAAAATATGCGTCCTTCGTGTAAAAATAAACACAACACGAACGTCTCTATTTTAATATTACATAAGGTAGCGGTATATGCACTCGCGTTGCGTTTTTATATTTATTTATTTATTTTTTCGATTTCTCCCCGGGTTTCATCTTGTTACATATTTATTTACCCTCCCGCGGCAAAGATATTCAAAAGCACTTTGATTTTCTTCTCTCTGTGCGCGCTCCTATTTTTTTTTATATATATACCTCCACTTCTTCTACCTCCTCACTCTACTTCTTTTCGTTTTCGAGGGGGATGCTCGAAGCGCTAATACGAATATGATCGCGAGGATGGCCTAATAAAAATGCATGGCGCGCGGGGGCGGCGGCTCGACCTAAGTAAGGGCGGCGGGTGAAATTATGATTCCGTCGAATATTTATCATTCGGGCCTAATACGGCGGTGATAAATATATGGGGGTGTTACAAGCTGTTGCGACAGAAACAAATTAATGTAAATTCTTTCGACTCGATGACTTTTCCCGTGATATTAAGGGCCTTTAAAGAATGAAAAATAAAAGGAGAGAGAGAGAGACCATGCACCGAAGGGCGCGAGTGTTTTAAAGAATAATCATGCCCCCGGTCCAAAAAAAAAAAATATATATATACGAACGGGGGAAAAAAAAAGTAGGGGCTATCAGACTTGCAAATTTCTTATTGTACCCTTCGCAGTCCGTAAAGACATTAGCCTCTTGCATTTACACCGTCTCTCGCTCTCCCCCATCACTATTTCCTCGCATTAAATTATTTTAAGAGGAGCAAATTATAGAAACAGTTGTACACAAGCGGTCATTTGCATATTTTTCATTTTCGTTTAATTTCACGGAGCGGCTTGACAAAATTGAGCCAATTTTCGGGATTACAGGGCACCGGCTTCTTACGTCTTCAACGCTGCCGCCTTCACCGCCCCCGCGATCTTCCGTCGCTCTCATCAAATACCGCTGCCACCTGTCCTAACTTAACCTGACTCCTTCTTGGAATACGCACGTTGGCCGATGTTTGCTCAGCGTTATATGTATTTACGCTATCCACACACACTACAGCTTTTTGTCTTGACCGGTTACAAACTTTACCCAAACATACTGCTTAGGAACTAATAGTAAACAAGCCGATCTCTTCTTCTACGCCTTCTTCATCTTCTCCTCCGCGTATAAACAGAAATCTCCGACAACTTGTGTAACATCTGGGTACAGTTTTAATCTTCCTCTCATCCTTAAATCATTAAGTTCTCAATCGACAACATTTAACTTGATTTAACACAATATTTAAATCCCCAAAATTAAACTAATTATTATTCTTCTTCCTCTACTTTACAAAACATTAAGAAACTGAAAATATTATATATTAAAAACTTCAAAAATGATTTTAATAAAATGAAACTATACGAATTCGATACCGTCGCTTTGAGCTCCATTTCAAAGACGTGGAGTTTAACAATCCCGCAGTTGCTTATGGCACAAGTTTTCAACTCCGTCGCTTTGTGTCTTGGATGTGTTGCATGTTTAAAAACTTCAAAAAGAAAAAAAGAAACGAATGAAAGATTCTATGCAAAAGTTCCTAACTTGAACTCTTTACAACCCATCATATATAACTTAGGACTTCCATATTTGAATTACGAGATTCTCTTCTTTCTATTAAAAAAACCTTCTGCACATATTGATGTCGAACAAAAGAAATATCTTAAAATAAAAAAAAACAATTTTTTTTGTTGTCTTCATAAACTTAATAAGTTAATGTTGTAAAATCAAATTTATTGTAATTTCAATTCATTATGTTAATTTAGAGTTAAAATTAATAAATTTAAAATAAATGTAATGAATTCTACGTATTAGCATTTTTATTCATTTACTTAAAACTGCTCAATGTGTTTAGATAGTAACTGGATAATCATATGAGGGGATGCACACTATGTCACGGTATGTGCACAACAACAGACGTGCTTTTAAATTGAAAAACTTAAGATTGCCAAAGATAAACTTAAATGCGCAAACCGTCCAAATCTGATCCATTTTTATGCAATGAAAAACAACAATATTTCTTAAATATGCATTTTATAATTATGATAGTTTATTAGTAAAACATCTTAGTTGTGTAATGGTATAAGTTTTTGAATGGATGGATGAGGTGTCTTGGGATTCCGTGAAGTCTAATGAAAGCAGTAGTCGCAAGAAATGAAACTGAAGCTGCGCGCATAGTTTATGTGCAAGGTGTAAGTACAAATTTCCGGAATCGCTGGCAAGTTTCAAGTCTCGTAATTAAGTTAGGCAGTTTGTCGTTTAATAGGAGAGATATGCGAGTAAAGTTATGTATGCTCATCTCTCTGTATATATATATTTTTTGTACTATGGTTCATTTTTCCTCTAGATGAGTTATACCAAGACATGTGTGTTTTTATTAGAACAAATTGAGTCCGAGGCAGAGGTTGCTGCAAGTGCATGCGCCTATGGTAAATAATCTGCTGTGAATATGTTAGACACGCTGTGTAGATTAGGTGGTGCCCGCTGCGACAAGAAGCCGCTTAAAATATATATGTGCATTCGGCTCGTCCTGGATAGGATGATGGAGATCCTAACAGCAGGAGTTGGCACCCTGGGATGACACATGGTCGCTTCGAAATGCGATTTCAATTACACATGCACACGTCCAGCGGAGCGGGCTGCATATCCACGCCGCGGATCTTGACAACACGGCCAATGGTACCATGATGGTACTGCATGTCTACAACCATGGCTTGGCTGTGCCAAACGGTGGCGGCGATCCGGATTTTGACTGCAGAACCGGATCAGAGGATGTCCCGTCCCACCAGCCGACAGTCACCTAAGTGGGACCGGACCACTCCGTCCCCCCCTTTCGGACAGATCCAGCTCCAGATAAAGTTTTGTTGAATTTGTAAATGTGAATGAACATGGAACGGTGTTTGTCGGCGGCAGTCCCGAGATTGAGATGAAACACTGGGAAATGTTTACGACGTCGAGATATTATCAATTGAAATTTTATATGTTGTATATAGATTACGGGAACAAACTGTTCTGATGCTGCCGTTCTTGCTCATCCTCATCCTACCTTCTTTCATTTTCAACTTCACAAGGGTGTATAAAACTTTACTTTTCAAATATAAATATTAACAATTAATTCTGGTTTTCATTATTTCTTCAGTTCATTTTCAAAATTTCTAGCTGATTTAAATAACAATAACTTAAATTCGCAAATCTAAAAACTGATTTCACTTTAATTAAAACTTGAAAAATATTTGTTGTTGAAAAGTTTTCAAATGATTGATAAGCATTTATTCCTATATCTAAATGAAATATATTCTTTTCATTTATACAAAAAACAACACAAATTTAACAACTTACAAGTTAAAACGATTTAAATTATATTTGTACTTTCGAATCAAAGTATTTTTGCGGTTATTAAAACTAAGTTTTTAACATTAATTTGATCTACTCAAGAAATAGTTATTAATTAAAATGTTTCAATTCTGATAATTTACTGAAAATTTCTACTTTTTTTAAAACATTATTTACACATGAATTTTCAGTAAAAACTCAATATACTAAGAAATTAAAAATTTGTTTTTCTCTAAAAATATTCCAGAAAATTTTCAAATAATTTTACTTTGTTTACTTTACTTTAGTTTAGTTTATATATTTAATGATATTTGATCAGAATTGAAATATGTTAAATTTAAAATATTGAAAACAATTCATTTCAAATTTTCAAGTTTTTAAATATTTCTGATCGAATTTTTAAGTTTAAAAATAATTTATTTCAAATTTTCAAAATAATTCATTTCGAGTTTACTAAACAATTACAGACTAAAAAATGTTCTAAACTATATTACAAATTTTACTGGAAAATGTAGTAATAAGTTCTTTTTCATTTAATTAGAAATATGAACGTTTATAATCATTTAGGAAATAGTATATTTCTATTATTAGATAATAGCACAATTCAGTAGATTTACAAGTGAAATATGTCAATTTATATTTTATGTTTATGTTTTTTTATACAGATTTCTAGAAGTATAATAGTTTTTACTTCTGCTGCTGTAGTTTTGTTTCAAACTTTTCAAGGATGGATGAAACTTATTCTTTCTGTAGTTTTTAGTGATGAAGGGTATGGAATGTGAATAGGTCTAGTAGAAGATCCCAGGAGGGTATTTTTTTTTTGTTGGGTCCAGCACGTGCCCAATGTCCATATCACGTGGCATTTCGGAAGACAAATGCAAATGAGCAACAAGTGGCTAAGGGGCGACTACTCACCGATAATAGGGGAAGGCCTGCGGCATGTGCAGATCCATGGGGGCAGCGCCGTGGTGAGCGGTCCCATATCCATGGTGGTCGGTGGTCTGCATCATGGAGCCGGCGGCGGCGGCCGCCGCTGCGGCTGCCGCCGAGTGGTGGTGACCGAGCACGGCCGCCCACGGCGAGGACGCGAATCCTCCCGGATGATCCAGCGCGAAGCCGCAGGATAACACTCGAGAGTACCGAAAGATGAACGACAACGGAGGCAACAACAACAACAACAATAACAACAACAGGAATCACTGCACTCGCCACTGCATGTTACGTTAACTCCTACTCACTAGTTGACTCTCACGTGTGACGGCGAGAACGGACACTCGGCCATTGATCGCGCGGATGCTGAATGACTGAAAGAGTTACCAGAGGCGGAGTTCGAGGGCCGCGTGCGTGGCCCGCGGTCATGTGACCAAGCGGGCGGCCCCCGCGCCGTTTTGGCCCACCCACCGCCGCCGACGTCGCCACCTCCCACCCACCACTCTCGTCGAAGCACACGGCAACCAACTCGCGCCTTCGCCAAGGTGAAGCACGCACATCATACCCCATACCCCATATCCCATATCCCCATACTCTATACCCCATAAGCTACCTCTCATACTTTCAAACAACAACCACTCCAATAACTACTTTCTTGACTCACACTATATAACTTACAAATCTATAATTCCAATAGACCGAATTCAAATATTAGTTTAATGTTAATATAAAAAATTTAAAATCATGATATAATAATCAAATTGTAATGATAATTTTTGTAACTTGATTCATAATATTTGATATTTTCTAGTTTCAACTAAATATTATCCTATAACTATATTAAATTCCAATTTGACTCACATTACTTTTTGAAATTATGTATTTTCATTTGAGTAAAACTGATAATTATAAATTTATTGTATTGCGGATTATTTACATCTTTGAACTTTTTACAACTGTACTTAACTAATTGTGCATTCACACCTTCAATCGGTTTGACTGCGTACAGTGCGACTTGGTATACTATCTGGATTCGGAATCGCGTGCTCTATTGTTATTCACCTGCAACGGTCCTCAATTTTGGACTTGCAATTGCATGCACGCCATTCGGTTCCATGAACGGACATCACCGTCCAGACGATACGTCCATTTCCGATCGTTGACTCCAAGTCATCTTATTGACTCTACCTATTATTAGTCTTTATTCTATATCAAGACATCATTGACATACAAATGAAATCACAATTCACTATTAAACTAAATTATAAATTTTACTCAAATTCTAAATCACTTTTAATGGAACAAATAAATATATTACAAAATATAATATATTTATTTTAGAAATATCAATTAGATCTTTTAAAGTCAATGAAAAACTTTGAATTGAAATCAATCTGATAAACACGGATTAAACGCTTTTGACGTTGAAAGATGTTGAATTAGTGTGAACGTACAATAATTAAAATTTAGAATTACAAATTAGTCGGAAGGGAGAACGGCCGATCCCCTACTACAGATTAAAGTCGCTGCAGTCACTGATTATGAAGGAGAAGATGAAGTGCTGGTAATCTTGAAAGAAGACGATTGAAATCCCATTTCATTAAGTCAAATTGATTTTCATCCATTTGATAACATGAAATGTTGATCGCATCTTAATTAATTAAATTAATTAACCAAATAGACAAAACCACAGTAATTTGGCTACATTTGGCATATTTTAGATCATAAAATTATAATTATATTATAGTTTCTGAGAAAATCAATAAAATGTGAAAAGACTACTTTTCATTTAATGTGTTCATTTAATTACTTGATTTTTTAATACAAATTACAGCTAAATGAATGATTGTGTGTTTATTTTTCCAAAAAGTTCAAAACACTATAATTGTACAAATAAGTAGCTTTAATAGAAATCTCAAGTGTGTCGTGAGAGAAAAAATGTTGATGAACACTGTTCTGCTCTATTGTAGATTAGAATCTGGAGTAGTCGTTGTTAGACACGACCCAGATTACACTAATAGTCATGATTTAGGAATAAAAACATGTACAAATTGTAGTAAATAGTCTTATTAAAACTATAATGGCAATTACTTTGGTTCAAAAATGTGTTAAATTAGTACAATTTAATTAAATTTATGGCTATTAAAGATTTATAATAAATAAGATTATTCTGATTTTTTTTTGTTTAAGATTTTGTAGTATTACTTTTTGAGATCTTGAATGTGTTGATGACCGTAGTCACAGCTGAATGGATGGGTCATAATGATAGTCGGTAGATACATTTGACACCAAAAATTCTGTGAAATAAAAAAAAAGAATGATTTGCATGAAGGGTCGACTAATTGTAATTCAGCCTTGGTTTCTTTGAATCTCGAATACCAAAAAGCAACCAACCAAAATATATACATATATATATATAGAATAGGAATCAGAGGAATCTACCACCATTTACATGTTGAACATAACGACGGGTATTAAAAAAAAAGGACCGTACAGAAGCTTTTCGTTATTAAGTTTCGAACGCGACGAAACGGAATAATAATTACGTAACGCAATTCGACGAACCGGGGCGTAGGTGTTGCGCCTAATTGGAATTCATCTCCACCGTTCTGTTATTATTTCTGCAGGGTCGCATCACTTAATTATCCACTTTAAAGCATCCCCCGTCTGCATCGGGGACATATGCGGTCAGCTTTTAAAATTCCCGTAAGGGGGTGGCCAGTTACTAAAATCGGATCACGCTAGGGTGGAAACGAAAAAAAAAATTATTAAAACTTACCCTTAAAAACTGAAGGACATCCGTTCCAAGGGCGGCGACCCTCGCGCTTTGCGGCGTAATGACCGTAAATTGGTTTCTAATGCAACATTATTATATTTTGATTTATGTAACGACCGCATACTGGACATCAAAAATATATGAAAAAAAAATGAATAAAAAAGGAATTGCAGCAAAGATGGGGCAATGAGAGAGAGAGAAAAAGGGAGTGAGGAAAATACTAATATTCCTCACTAATTTCGGTCATTTGAATTCAATTGACCGGCGCGCGGAGAATCCCCTTTCGCACATGATTTATCGCGTCAATATCACGCATTCCTCGGTAAGTACAAGGATAATTTCATGCAAATATTTTGCTTGCCGGGAAAGGGCGAAAAAAAAATAGTAGGGGCATTCAATTAAAACGCCGACGTTCAATTCACACCATTCCCCGCTGTTTAATCCAGTTCTTGCATGATGTTAACCTTTAATGAATTTTCAGATAAAGAGTTTTCAATTGTCTGTTAGTAATTTTAAATAAATTCAATTAAAATACAATTAAACAAGAAAATTTTATTTAAATCATTATTTTTTTAATGACATCTTTATATATTTATAATTCAAAATATTTTTTCGTGAAATGTGATACTTTACATACGATAAAACGAGTAATAATTTTTTTTTATTGATATCCATAAATATATTTATTAACATTTGATCGTTAAAAAGTTACGTGTCTATAAAACAAAGTATTAAACTTGTTACCTAAAAGATTCAATTCTTTAGTACGTTACAATCTAATTTACACAAGTACTGTAAGAATTTAAATGTCTTAAGATATTATCCTTGCTTCAAGCGGTTTCTGTTGTAACGACCTTGGAGAGTTGTGCAAGGATTATTACCGGTTTATTTTGAACTTTTTAATTGTAGTTAATAATTTTCAGTTATTAAAAAATAATATATGTAAACTAATTATTTTTTTTTGTGTGAATTGTGTTATGTAGTATTACCCTACATAGTTCTATAATCTTCAACCCTCGTCGACTTGTTTTCCCTTCTTTTTGTCTTTATTGAACGAGGATGTTTGAGCGAAATTCCTGGACATGATTTATCGCTTCAATATGAGGGTCGGAATTGAAAATTCGAAATTCCTTTCGTGAGTAGGTGGACTGGGACTAGGACGAATACGAGGACAAGGATGATGATGATGATTACGATGGCGGCGGTGAGGATGATTTTTTTTCTTCGTTGTGTGGACAATTAAATGATAAGTGTATTTATGGATGTAGATACATCTGTATTCACGGAGTGGCGCGCCGTTTAAGAACACAAGTCACGGACTCTGGTGCTCCTCGATTCATATTTTGGAAAAGTGAATGAAAGGAGTATTGTATAAATAACTCAGGTTGCTGCTGCACGTTTACGTGCTTTATGGCCGCAGACATCAAGATAGTAGCCTTGTTTCCTGTGTCCAACTCATTTAAAAAGCCTTCCGTGAGAGACCCGTCCTTTCTCATACACATGATGTTTATTTAAAATTTCTACCCAAAACGACGACCGACCAACAAAACCACAGACCAGAAGAATTATTAAACAGATACGAGAATACATAATAATGCACCAGATACCACAACAACTATATATATATACACACACACACAAATAAAACTACCAACAACAACATTGAATCTCACCTTGCTTACCTACTTTATTTTCGTTTTGTTTTTAATTTACAGTGAATCGTTTCTCAGTGCATCAACTAAAGAAAAAAATGTTATTTCGTGACTTGGTCATGAAAAGTAAAAGCAGTATGAATTAAATAGAAGCTGCTCGTAGTATGTACACATGGATTTGGTGCAGAGGAAAACCGGAGAGGTCAGCACGGTCTTGACTTTCGACAGTTGATAGAAGGTACAACTTATTCGAAACTCATTCATTCACATACATTTAATCCTGTTTTTGTGCGGTAGATAGAGACCGCATAAAAGAAATCGCACAAAATAAATATTCGAAATTTTATATATTCTTACATATAACAAATAACTTTGTACAATACATTAGAGAAATCGCACTTAGAAAATACGATTTACGAAATACATGAAAACTAAAGTACATCCAAACTAAATAAATAATTAAATCACACATGGAAACATTTTATTTTTTATTGTACTTAGGAGAAATTTTAAAAATGCACATACACAATTCACTGCTATTCGTGTTAATCCAAAACGCGCATCTTCTTGTGATGAATTGGTTCAAAATCGACTAACAGAATCGTTTACATATGCACACTAATATAAAACATTACAACGTAATTGGAATTCATATACCGACCGCATAAAAAATTCTTATTTTCTTTTTATAATTCAAAATTTAGTTTATAAAATTATTTTTTTATTAAACAATTTACAAATTTTTTTGTTCTATTCGTTTCTCTATTTTTATAGCTATTATTTTATTATAATTATAAAATAATATATTTTGATATAATAAATAAAATTATAAAGTTTGTCTCTGTAATGCTGGAGACGTTTGAAAAATAAAGTCGCGCGTTGAATACGAGTATATTAAACATTTGGAGAATATTAAATCATAAAATAATCTATAATCTATACAAAGTTTTTTTTTTCTTAATTGGTATTCTTGACATTGTTAATTGTTCATTGTATTAAATTTGTTGTAAGTTGAACCTATTAAAAAGAAATCGAGGTTCTCATACATATTCAATCATTATTGGAATCTTGTACATGTCAAACAATTACGAAATTAATTTGTCTTTTCTATTGTCTTTTGTCATTTTTTTACTATAAATAAATTTTGTAAATTAAAATAAATTAGAAAATTTATAAAATGTAAATAAAATGAAAAATTAATTAAAAAAAAAATATTTTTTAAATGTTAACGATGAAAGATTATTGTCACATTTAAAATGATAAGTATTAAAATATTTATTAGTAACTTATTTTATATTTTTCATAATGTAGTAAGGTAGAACCTGTTTTTGTGCAGTCCATTTTTATGCGATTTTATTTTTGTGCGGTTTTTTTATACGTTATATGAAATCCAACTAGTTCCAACAGCATTGTGATCTTTTGAAAATTTCTCCATATGTAAAATGAGAAATTAAATGTTTCCATATGTAATTTAATTATTTATATTGGTTGGATGCACTTTCTCATGTATTTCGTAAATCTTTGACGTATTTTCTAAGTGCGATTTCTCTATTGTATTGTACAAAGTTATTTGTCAAATGTAAGAATTTATGAAATTTTCGAATATTTTTTTTTGTGCGTTTATTTTTATGCGGTCCATATCTAGTTGGATATAAAAATTAGTGGATTTAAGAAAAGATTAGCAAAAGCATCATTTTATTCGCGTCATCAATCGCAGCGATCGATAGTCGAAAAGTAAATGGTGGCAGGGGGCATCGTGCCAATTAGAATGAACTCCAGGTTCGAAACGCGGCAATTAGGAATTTGGGCAAATAATGAATGGTGTGTATGGGACGAAGTTTTCCCAATATTGTGGATGTGAGTCAGGTAGTAATTACTATGTATGCAGTGAGCACCGAGGCACCACTTGTAAATTATTGCCGGCTGGGGTCAATGCTGCACATCCAAATACCGCAATTAGAGAAGTCGACCGAATAATTACGATTCTATTGCCATTCCCTCCCTCCCTCACTAGCTCTCTCACACTCTCCACCCCTCGACCCGCGCTACCAAGAAATCAACCCGATTAAAATTCGACGGGCGGCTCATTAAAAAACTTTCTCGTTTGGAAATTTTTGCGCGTTGCGATCCAAGGCGTGTGTCTCTATCTATACCTATGCGTGAATACCACTGTATGTGTGTATATAAATATATATATATATAGGTGAGTGTGTATGGATGCATGTGTGTGTTTTTGATCGAGCTTCACGCATCGCAGTGCTCTGAGCCCTTGAGAACAATTCAATCTATAATTTGATGTGGAGGAGCGCGAGGAGTTTTTATTTTGTAATAGTTTTTGAAAACAAATTCGATAGGCATCTTATAAAGTGAGAGTATGTTCGGGATTATCGGCGGTAATACATTACGGAGTTAATTTGACGCTTGACTGGAATCAACTGTATGGTTTTTCTTTCGTTTTCATTTTATTCTGTACTTGGTTTTACTTATTCCTTTAATAGGTGTATATACCTATACCTATACCTATATCTACACCTATACGGCATGAACGTTTTTGTGTCGGCCGCGGAGATTTCAGGGGGTAAATTGTGAAACCAGTTTTGATCTTATAATTTTTCAATAGTTTATTTTTTGTCTTCGACTACTCCTTTGCTGTTGCTGTTCTTCAGATGCATCTCTACATCTTCGGACGCGGGGATTCAATGGGAACCTCGATTTCGGGACACCCGTTTTGACACCTAAAGAACAACAATCCGATGGAAGAAGCATCGACATCGACTTCGACGTCGACTAGGAAGCATAATATGTTATAGCATCCGGCGGGAGGCACGTACGGTGTCTTCTAGTTAGCATGCTGGTCTCGAATGGTACGCCACCGGCCTGCGAAATACAGTTTGTGTCTACGTCTGGCGCATGTTAACACGCATTGTGACTAGTGAATAGTGACGCCGTCACTATAGCATTTTCGATAGCCGCACACCGCCCTCAGCACCAGGCGAACATCAAACCTCTCGGTACACCAGCACCTGTTGCATCACATCACATCACCTCGCAAAACCTTCGAACAGTCGTTTTAATCCGAAATACTAATGCCGATTATCCGATAGCTATGACCTCCACTCAACGCTCCATGCTAAATAGAATTGTTCATATAGTCGCACAATCATTAAGCTCTTCGAAAAGACCACAAATTTAAAATTGCTTCCATTCAAATCTATTAACTTAATTCCGTCGGAATCAGAATCACATTCGAAATTTTACCATTATTAATATTATACGCTATTGAAATTAGTTCTGAAGAGTGACATGACATAAATATACAAGACACTTGACAGAAATGAATAATTTGATGCTGGCACCGTAATTGATCGATCCTTTCGATAAAAAAGATATTAGAACATAACGAATTACTTACAACACAGCGTTTATTATAGCGCACCATACCTTATTGATGTATCTTATAATAATAAAAAAAAATAATAATGTTATTATAGGCCTGTATTTATTGGATATAGATGTACACGGTGGATGCATTACTGCAAGCAAAAAGTAGGCAGTAAAAGAAAATGCAATCAGTTCATGAATTAGCATGGGATGTAAAATATGAGTCGGCATGTTGTTGCCGTTGTTGTTGATGTTGTTGTTGCTATTATTATTGCTGTTGTTGTTTCCTGTTCGAAACTCAATTACCGATGAAAACTTTATCTCAATTTCGCTATCTGAAATGATGATACTGTGTAACGATTTTTGTACAAAACTGTTGTCCGTCGCCGTTTTTGAACAAAGAACTGTGTTATTATCTGAGAAACGAGGTAACAACAATAATCAATTATTAGAAGAATGTATAGTGATGCGAGTGGGTGTTGTAATATCAAATAATGACAAGGTAGCGAGCGTCCGCTATTCCAGGTGGACAGTATCCACAGGTACGCACTTGGGCTCGGGGCAAAAGGAAACCCATCGCCCTGCATCGAAATGGATCCACGAAACTGAGCCCATCGCCAAGGTCAATCGGGATCTACTATCAGGACCTTTGCCAAACTAATCTACACAGGGCCCGACGACCCGTCAAGGACCCAACGGATCGGACCCGTAGATTCTTCGATGGTACGGCTCTGCACGAAACAATATCAGTTATTGCATCGTGCTAGTCATTTATCCTCACCTTGCCTTGCGATTAAAGCCGCTTTTTATTATTATTTTTCAATTTCTCGGCCGGCGCATTAATCTTGCAGCTTTCTCGAACAAAAAAAAAATCAAAGAAATAAAAGACAGACTCATACACAGGCGCTGAGATGGGGGAGGGACGAGGAATGAAAACCGAAGGCGTAAGAATTACATAGATATTGGATCTGTTTCACATAGTTAAGAATATATAATCTTTGTAATCATTTACTTAATTTTATATAACACTAACCAATAGGATAAATAAAAAAATTATGAAAAATAACTCATTTGCATTTAGTTATACAATAAAAAAAAATACTTGAATTGAGAGAATTTATATTAAAAGTACTTACCAATGTGTGAAATTTAGGTATGCGGATCAGGATTGAATATGGTTTAGGTATCAAAAGAAATGCACGCATGGGATAGATTTACTTTGTTTCGATATAATAAAAATTGTACACACCCACGACATTCGTCGCAATACGCAAACAAACTCAAATGAAATGCATACAAAATAAATTATTCATAAATACTCGGTAGTCTAAACGGTAGGTAAATATGTTTAGAAAAAATATAATGTTATTATATCATAAAATCCACATGAGAATGGAATCGGTCTGTAAAGTAGATCTCAAGTATAACTCATACATACACATAGAAATATAAATATATATATATAGATATATCTAGATATAAAGTTAAAAAAAATAATAATAATAAGAACACTGGCATTAGACATATTAAATAAAATCCCTGGCTTAAGTAAAGTGGGTCGGGGCGTTGATTACATAACAATCGAAAAATATAATGCATATGTATAGCTAACCTAAGACCCCATCATGTGTATAAATAATATGAATTAAAAGATCATAATTAATTATAGAAAAATAAAAATTAATAATAAAAAATTTAAAAGAAAACAATAACAAATAGACTTTCTTCTTCTTCCCTTTCTCTTCTTCTTCTTCTTTCGTTTCTTCTTCTTCTTCTTGCGCATGCATGTATAAACCACAAAAAAAAAACTAGTTAAATGCAATCAAAAGTCTTAAAAGGTAAATAAAAAATATATAGAGAAATGCCTCCGCTAGAAATGCGCAAGATCTCAAATCATTCTATCCGTAAAGGCACATTCGTTTAAATACAATTTAAATTATCTTCTTTTTTTTTCTTTTTCTTCTTCTTCTTCGCATCTCTTCCTCCCTCTTTTTACTAGACTAATGAACACAGTGTGAGGGTCCTGGACAAAACGCAGGACCAAACCATTAATAGTAAAAACGCTACTACTAAATGATCCCATTAAGAACAAAAAAATAATAATAAAAAGAACACCCTACTAAGTCTTAATTTAAGATTAGCTTAAAGGACACGAAAGAAATAATAAAAAAAATAAATGAATCGACAAGAAAAGAAAAAAAAAATACGTATCAAGTACTTAAAACAATACTTATTTACAATTGTAACAACTTGTTATATATAATATATATGTAGGTAAAAACAAAATGGTCGAATATAAATATTATATTACTAGAAAAATATGTGTGTGAGCAATCGGGATTCTTTGTTCTTCTTCGGATCCTTTCCTTCTCAGTTGACTCGGGGCTCTTGCGGTTTACAAGAGTATATAAAGACGGTACGCATAATGTGAACTGAGATGACATGAGCTTCAGATCGGGGGTGTTCCACGGACGTACTGCAGCTGTGGGTTCATCGACATCTGCATGTTGTTCATATTGTCGCAGCAGTGCGGCTCCAGGAGGCAGGCCACGAAGAGCAAAGCCATGATAGCGAAGTGGAACGAGATCGACGCGCGGACCACACGCTTGAACCAGGAGGCGGTCTTCGTTGCTGGACCGTCATCACCTGGGTCTCCGCTGGGTCCTGCTGCAACCACCGATTCACTGCAACAACAAAAAAAAAACAACAACCCGTATAACAAAATGATTTCGTTAACAACATATGTAGCGCAAATTTATAAATAATTTAGGTATTTTTGTAATATTTAGATGAATAAGTCTCTAGAATCAGCAGAAATAATAAACTTATGATTGATGGTCGGTATATACTAGATGCAATGCAACCTGTTTCGTTTATAGGAAACGAGAGAGGACGGGGAATAAAAAAAAGTTAAATATGTTTTATGCACGTTTCGCCCCGCGGGAATCCCTCGAATGTGTTTTAAAATGATGTGTTGAGGTTTTAAACGTGATTAGGGGGCGGCGGCGCCTAAGGGCAAGCGTAGGGACGCAAGCGGGACAGCAGGCGCAAGGGCAGCAAATCGGGGGGTGGTGGTGATGGTTTCGCGAAGGGCATGGATGTAGTAGGCAGGCTGTAATGGCGGCGGCTCGCGGCGCCCATCGTCGCCCGCATCCAAATGGTCTACTTAACCAAGGGGGACCCATCTCGGCGGGGCTCAAGATTGAAATTAGTTGAGCCCCGGGACCGCACTACATTTCAAACTTAGTCACCTACTTTCCCGTCCAACTTATTTCCTTGACGCCTTAATCCATTACCGAGCTCTTAACGGCTGCCCGTTAAACTTCTTTCTAACTAATTAAAGTTCCATTGATCCGTGAGGCAGCGTTAAAAATACATAGTTGCGCAGACCCGAAGGGCCGGACATCTTTAAATCCATTATGAAAAACGACCCTACGTCAATTATGGCAACACGAGAATAGGACTAATACAGTTAGGCGACGGCAGCTGCACGAAATTACGTTACGCAATTCATAATTCTTCTTTTTCCCCGCAACTTATCATTTGATATTGTGTGCGGTCAAATTTCATACGGAATTGAATCATACGGCGACATGCGAAGCGCTACTAATAGTCCAGAATTTCATTTAAACTTTGCATTGCTCCAATTACATTTATTTTTTTTTTCAAACCTAATCAAAAAGTTTCCTAACTACTTTTACATGCACCCATCACTCGATTATGCAATAGAAGTAAAAGGCGGTAGCAGTTCTTACACATTCTATTTAAAATGTGTAACTATAAAACTTGTTCAGATTACATTGATTTCCTGATTTATAAACTAATACTTTCTCGTAATATTCCATTAAACTAAAATATTTTTTAATTTTAACATTTTTTATACATTCAAATTGATGATTGATTAATTAAGCGAAAAGCAATTGTGAAGTTGCTAATTTTTATGGAAAAAAAAATAGAGGGTGGTTTTATTGGCTGTGAGGATCAGACGTGACCGTTGCGTAACCCGTGGAGTAGCGTGGCGGATATACAGGATGGATTTCGCTAAGTAGAGGCAATAAATCAAAATATTGGAAAGTTGCCGGTACGTATGTACGAGATAAGTGAGCCGAGGAGGCAATTAAATTCGGAATAAACGGTGAAAGATTCATTAGCGATTAGCGGGCGATCACGTCTTGCGAGTCCAGCCTAAGTAGATGGCGGAGCGGAAAGTTAAGAGCTGAAGAAGCAAAAGAAAGAACCGAAAGCACAAGAGCAATAGATTGCAGTACAGGAACGCAATGAGAAAGAATGAGCGAGAGAAGAGATGGCAAGGAAGAAGGGGGACGGCGCACCGCCGTAGATCATTTGTTGTATGTAAAACGATTTGCTGGGAACGATAAGTGATTTGTTGTTTATTTGTTGTTGTTATTAATTAAGGCAGTCGCATGTTCGCTCACGGGTTACCAACGGACCCATTAATCTTGCCGGTCGCAGCGGGACTGCCGCGATGCACTTGTTATTGCTTCATATTTAATGCTGCCCCAGACTTTATAAATTTATATAAACATTTGCTTAACATATACTCTTCATTTTTCTTGTCAAGCGCCGCACGCCCGGACCCCTACTTGTTCATCAGTCTTCTTAATTTAATTACCGACCATCAAAGTCAACGATCTTGAAAAGTCAAACAATCGCGCGCGTTCCGTTTTACTTACTCCTCCACTGGAGGCTTCTTTCTTCTACCTCGCTCCTCCTCAACCTCTCCACCAACAACAACCATCTCTCTTTTTGTGTGTCTTTACGTTCTGTTTGTTATTTGAGCAGCGCGCATTTGAATACAAATTGCTCATTGTTGTTGTTGTTTTTGGGAGACGGCGCCACCGTTTCACTCCAAATGCTAATCAATGGTAATCCGTTGCCGCCACCTCCTGGAGGTCGCACCGTGTCGACTAACCAAAGACATCCCACGCCCACGCGGTGACATGCATTCCCCACTCGAAGATTCCGCTATTTTGTTGCAGACAGAGACACATAGTATCGATTCGGTTGTGTATGTATGCCTAATCGATGATGTGTGAAACGCATTAAAAGCTGGCGGAATGTGTGGAAAGAGGAGCAAAACGAAACCAACACAACAACAAAAAAAACAACAACAAGCAAATGGGAAAAAGAAAGAACGCGCGCGCTAAGTACACATCGAACACGTCGAACACGGTGTCAGCGATGTTTGCCAGCAATTTATAAGCGGAGGATGTTGGCTCGAAGATGTCGTTTATGTCGTCGAATGGTTTCTGCTGAAAGGCCGCGCAAGTTGGGAAAAAAAATATATAGAGAGAGAAGACGCTCTGCTCTCTCTTCTTACCTCAGAGGTGCGGCTGCAGAGACGGCCGTCCTCACGATGATCGACCGGCACTTGTTCTGCAACGTCTTCAGCTCTTCCTCGGCGGCGGCGAGCCGCTCCCTCATCCTAACCCGGGCTGCACTATCCGGTGCCATCACGATTTCCAGCTGCCTCACCAACCTCCGGATCGCCGACAACCTCCTCTCGCGCTCCCCCAGGTCATGTTCCGACCCCTCATCGGAGATGCCGCTGTCCGAGAAAGATCCCTCCGTCAACATCTCCGAGAAGCTACAACCCTGCAAAACAAAGAAAAAAAACACATCATATATAGTTCCATGTAGGGAGTAAGAGAGAGAGAGAGAATAAAAGATCATGTTCGAGGGAAATACACGGGTGGAGGAGGGCTCTCTCTGCATGTATCGACTCTCCGCCAGCACTTTGGAATGATGCGCCGTAGTAATGAAAAGCAACGCGCTGCATACAAAGCAGATCTCGACTCGAAATATCTGCTAGATTCGCTTTATAATCCCACTTCCAAAGCTAGTTCAAGCCTCCGACATTACCGAATTTCATATATTATTATATTCGCTTTTTATTTCTCACAACCAAAAATATATATATATATAAACGTCTTCAACCACACCCAAATTCTTATGATTACCGGTTTTTCAATAATAGAAGCATTAACATATGAACTATGAAAAGAAAATAAATAATAGATAATCATTAGCGATATAGCACTAAATCTGGAAAGTAGAGGTACCGCACGGTACTAAATCTACAAGTTGATCTACAAACGAAATGATTCAATTACAGTGCGTTCTGGGTTTTTATGTAGCTGTTAAGAACATTAATAGAGTGGAGAAGGGTTTCCTTTATGCGATTCAATGAATTAATCGAGCCGCAGTGACCGTCATCAAATGCATGCGGCCACGGATGGACTGTATATAAATGAATGGGGGACGAACTCCGACGAAAGCCGAAACAAAAGTTAGATAATCTTCTGGATCCACAATTAAGATTACTCATTTCGATACGCATTTAACAGCTCACTGCATTCCCATCTTCGTTTCTTTGTATCTTCGCAGTTCCAATTCATTCATCCACTTGATTAATATGTTTCTACTTCATTAGTAGTACTAATTACTATGTTTATATAAGTATTACCAATTTGAAAAAACAATAAATTCCAATTGGAAATTTCAAGTTTTGAATGGGATAAGTTTTTTTTTATTTCATTGTTGTTTATTTTTATGTTTACGTTTAAAATTATTTTACGATTTTGATGATTGTAAAAAAGTTGTCATGCTGAAACATATATGGAAACTGAAGACAAAGTGCGGAGTCGTTAAAGCTCTTAAAAAGTACCCTCGTATCATTTTAGTGCTCTCCGGTGGAAACACAAATTTTTGAAAGTGGACGATCGATCCACGAAGTGGGCGAAGAGTGGTAGCTGCCGAAAATATGGATTTCTGCACCGAAATTAGGAATTAAATAAATGATTGTAAGATATTTGGGTGGGATTGGGGGGTTGGATGAGAGAAACGTCCGAGGATGCAGCAAATTTAGTTATTTGTTGTAACTGGACCTCTCAGACTAAGCTCTCCGATGCGATATTAAATTTGTATTTTTACGCTGATTCCATGGAACATTCAGAGGACGTGACCAGAAAGCCAAAAGGGCCCCGCTATTAACGATCCGGAAGCGGCACTATTACGTCTCTCCCATCTACACAGACCCAATACAACCGACCCCCAGAAAACCGAGCAAGCAAGCAAGCAACCACCCCCCTCGACATTAGTTTTTCGACCGTCGGCTCCAGAAGTTGTAGAGAAAAAGAAAAATAAAATAATAATGCAATGGGTGAGAATGAGGCAAAAGAATAAAATTATTCTTAGTCTACAAATTTTTGATCTGTGGATGATGAAATATCGATAATTGTTAAAAATGAGGGAAATCGAAATGTGATTTATAAAATTGACTTCTTGATGTTTCGTTAACATTTTTTTTTTGTTCATTCCCTGTGCCCCGTTATGTTATTCGGAATTAATAAATTGTAGTATTGAAAACGATTCATATGTGGAATAATTAAAGGCGCGCTTAAAAATCCGCTCATGCAGAGCGCGTTTGAATAAATGAATAAAGAGAATAAAACAAACGGCGCGCCGTGCATTTTAAACGACCGATGTTTGAATGTTTCATTTCGCTGCCCCCCCTCCCCCTTCACCCGCGCCTACAGCCGCCCCCGCTTCCCTGAAAACTTCCCGACGCCTGAAAGAGTTTCGATGTATTTTATTGCAATTTTACCTCTGTTTTAGTCTCGGAGAGGAGCTTGGCGACACCTCGCACCGAGGAGGCCATCTGATTGGAAAAGGTGCCACCCTGAAGAGCCGAATCCAAAGCGCCCAAGGTCTGCTCATCGTCGCGTAGATCGCCTCTCAGTTGATCCAGCCTGGTCTCCAGCATCTTCCAGCTCTGCAGCAGCAGATTCAGTCGGTTCAGACGTTCAGTTGCGCTGCGGAAACCCAGAAGTGTTAAAAGAATAAATAAAGAAGCGCACTGAAATGGAATGGAATGGAATGAAACGACACGCATACTCTCATACACACACATATGTGTATACACATGCACGGCGATTATTTCGTTTGGAAATCACGCAGCGGAGTTATAATGGGCATGATTTGTATTCACAACATTTTAATAATAAAAGTATTCGACGACAGCTGCACCCACATGCAACGTGGTGTGATTTTAAATGATCATTTCCATTTCGTGCCACGGCCCGACTCTTATTTAGGATTATGCAGAGTAAATAAATGGGCGTACTAACCTGTTGTTAATTTCGTACCAAATACGGTACAGCTCGGAAACGTTTGACTTCAGGCTGGACGAATTGTAGTCGGCGTTTTCGGTCATGAAATGGTTCACGGCGACGTTCACGATCAGCAGCTTCTTTTTGTGCTCCTCGATGTTGCTGAGCTCGGCCTGCGAAAGTAGAAGAAACAGAGAGAGAGGTTGTTACAAATGGTAGTAAAACGTTGCCGATGAGTTTAGCAAAAGGCCGATGATGCCCCCATGCAGATATTAATCAGATCGATATCTCACGATGAGGGGGATTTTTATTGTCTTACGATTTGTTAATGGATTTATGAATTATGTATTCGAGTTAGCACAAAAGGCGTCCGCCTCCTTTTGTCCGCTTAAAAGCGGAAACGTCGAAGGAGGCGGCTTCATCCCCATTTGCATGCATCCACAAGGACGAGGGTTGATGTCTAACTGGAATGGCTAGATAAAGCGCAAGAACAAGTAGCAAGTAGGATTGTACTGAAATGTTTGAAGAACGAAGATGACCTAATAATGGGGAGTGGAAATTTAATTAATATCCAGCTAATCCAGTTTTTTCAATGTGGCCCCAACGAGCGGAGCACGTCGAGTCAGCAGCGAACGCAACATCCCAAAGGACCGAACGGTCCGTCCACTTGCGACATGTAACGAGTCATATATCGTGCTTGGTAGACATTGATGACCGTATATGTATAAATTACTCAAGTTTATGGGCAGACCTTGCCTGCGCGATGCTCTCGACGTGTCAAACTTTTTCCCGCTGCAAATAAATTGTACATTAAGAAAAAATGAGCGGATCAGGGAAGGTTGAAGAGAGAAAAAAAAACTGAGTGTGACAGAGAGAGAGAGAAAAAAAAACTGAGTGTGACAGAGAGAGAGAGGAAAAACGAGAGGTACCCAGAACCACTCTTGAGACTTTGAGAAAGGGAAAGGGAGATGATGTCGAGAAGAGATGGAGGATTCTTCGGTTCAATTTTTAATTCGAATCGGTGGCAAAGAATTATTCAGCGCATGCCAACATGAATATTCGCTGCTTTTATATGAAAAATTACTGCCCGGATTCTCCGACATTTGGTGGCGACGTGGGACAATGCGCAAATTAAATTTTATATTTAAGTCGAAGGCGGCGATTAAAAACTATCCCCGTGCTTCTTGCTGCGAATCGCCGTGACACACATATTCTGTGTGGCAAGTTGGACTCGGAGGCGGCGAAGGAGATGGCATGGAAATTTTGTCACGACCGATAAATCTTTACAGGTTACCCAATTACTGCGCTGGTCAACGGATACGTGACCTCAGTTAATCCCGCTTTTTCGGGACAAACTAATCTCTAAGCTCAAACATTAGACCTATCAAAATTATTCAAATTTACCATACGATAATTCTGCATTTAGTCTATATTCAAAAAGACATACAATCAAAGCCTATATAAGTCAAATCAAGCAATTATCCACTTTAATGTTTTGAAAACGTTTAGAATTTTTTTAATCCGAATAAAACGCCCTATGTTTGCGACACGACAAATCATAATTACTGCTATGAACTTTTAAACAATTCTTATTGGGCCACCAATAGGAAATAAGAGATAAGAAAATCATAAAAATTTGGACGATTTCTATACGAAAACGTTTTTGCCTGTCTACGCATCACGATAAAAATCAGAGCTGCAGCTGCAAATCATATTGCTAAACACTAAAGAAGGGATCGGCAAATCCCGACTCTTTTCGTTTTTAACCATTCTATTGGTTCTAATGATCCGAACTAAATATTTTTTGTTAACGGATAAAATCTTGAAAATGGTGGTTTTATAGAAATCTAAACCAATCTATGCGTTTTATGTAAATCCATATCGTATATATTACACGATGAATAATTTTGAAAAAAAAATATCCAAATATTTGGAATAGTTATAATTATCTAATAATATATAATATAAATAAAAACATATTAGAAAATGTAATTTTGAGGGAGAGAAGTTTGTATTCATCAAGACAGTAATTTAATGGAAAACCTGTTAAATAACAATCGCATGATATTTAATAAACAAATCCGCTTGTATGCAAATGCCGTGGAGGGTGCGGATTTGTAAGTATAATTCGTGCTGAAACTAATGAAACCGACAGCGTAAATATTTGAGCAATCCTGAGATATGACGGAGGGACGCAAACCCTAATTGGATTACAAAACGATAGAATTATCAAACGTAATCAGAGCACCGAGCAACATAAAAAAAAATATACGCGACCGGGCTTGGAAGTAGGGAAACTATAAATCCCAACAACAGAGCTTTCGGGGTGGTTCCTAGATTGTATACAAAATTGCAGTAAATTCGAATCAATTGATTGGCTGTTGATTGCAAATTGAATTACATTGGAATGCGTGTCTGCGGAGGGACGACCCGAACAGCATACCAATGCGTTATCTGGAGGGTAAGACCTCAAATTGTACACTCGTCAAACACACATATGTATTTTGCAGTCGTCAATTTGCATACCAAAAAAAAAATGAGGAGAGGAGGCGGATGGTTGAGAGAGAGAGAAAAAAAAGTGCGCGTCCTCAAAAGAAATTATTTCTGCCCGAAAAATATGGACGCGTGCAGCGAATGCCTAACTGGGTCTCCCGGCATCCCGAAATGTTATCATTGTTAGTAGTAAAAGGCACTGATCGATATCGATCGGTGGAAGAAGTATTTGTACCCTGTTCCCGTGGCCCCAAGATTAAGACTTGGACGTGGCTGCAAGCAAGCCGACGGAGCAAGGCTCGACTTTGGAGTCCCGTCACGTAGCAGGCCAGAGCAGTAGCTCGACACGGGTACGCTTTTATCGTCATTTCAAACTCTGAAAATATCACACACCACCAGTTTTTAGGTCGAAGTATCGCTAAATTCCTCGACCAATAAAAACGGTGAGCGCGGATTTAGACAAAGACCAACCCGGCCTCGGCCGGTGCGCGAAACGGCAAAAAATTGATACAGCCACCGCACCTAAACTTGCTAATGGCCTATTCAACTACCATTAACTACAAATAACCGATACAGTGAGTGGCCTTTTATAGCCCCGCTGCAGGAACGAAAACAACGGCGAGCCAAGAAAAACGAAGAGCTGGATGGAAGAAGGCCAGGACATTCATCATAACGAAATTCCAATAGACAATCAATTACCAACGATCGCAGACAATACGAGAAAACCTTGCTTCGACTTATGCAACACAATGAACAGAGAGCATTAGCTACCAGCCCACAGATGGCGTCTCCCCCAAGGTCACGAAGATAGCCGCCACCTTTTTCCCGCTTCGATTTCAAACACTCACCGAATAGAAATCGATGTCCCTGCTCAAATCTTCGATGTTGTTCACTGTGAAGGCAGCATCCCCGGCAGGGATCTGGATCTCGTTCAACAGCTGCGTCAACCTCAGAATTTCGCTCTGTAAGCTCCTGTACTCTTGCATTTTAAGAATGCGATCCTTCAACTTTTGCCAACTCATGATCAAATCTGCAAACAGAAAGAAAAGAGAAAGGTTGAAAGCGCGTACATTAGTCTGAGCACTTGGGTTAGTCATGTTACGTTTAAGCCCCCCGAAAACCAACGCGCTATCGGACATCAACAAATACAAGTATACAACATTCACCGGAATTGTAAAAATATATAGAAAATACTTACCTATCGAAAACCAAACCAAAACTGAAGATAGCGCAACTCTTCAGAGCGAATCACTTGACACGAGTTTGTTTTCGAGAAACTTGATCAATGTTCTTTTCTTAGATGGTGTAATTTGGTAATGATGGTTCATTCGCATGCACCCGGTTTTGTTGCCAATTCAACTCGAAACTACTCAAACGCAAAACACTTCCTCGCAATAAAACCGTACACATGTTTATGTACCATAAGTGTTTATATATAATATGTGTTGTGTGTGTGTGTGGATCAAGGATGAAATAAACTTAGAAGCCTTAATTTACAAAGCAAACAAGCAATTTAATGCAGAATAAAAAATAAATCAAAAACATGCTGTTACATCGCAGTCAAGAGATTATAAATTAAGTAATTAATTAAAAAAAAAAACATAAATATTATAAAATAAATACGAGCTGAAAACCGTCACTTTCCTTGGCATCGCTTTAAACACATTAAAAGTAAACAAACTTCGTGCAAAATGCAAAACTTCAAATTATTAAAAATAATAATAAAAATTAAAAAACAATTCAGTAAATTAGGTTGTATGCCACTTTAACTAATAGTTAGAACCTGTAAAAACAATTAGCAAAGTCGCGATTCATCTCTCAAGCACTCTCATTTAGCAAAAATTTCTAGCGTTAAAGAAACTCTTTAAAATGATTAATTTGCGTATATCTATATAAGTATCAAAAAACGGATAAATAATAATAAAAAAAAATAAAGAGAAACATAAAATCACAGCCTAAAGCTCCCTTCTGATTAGTAGTCATTATCTCTGCATGAAGATAATATTTTGTATTTAATAACACTACGATTACTATGTTACAATATTTGGCAAGAGAAAAATAATGATATAAATATGTATATAAAAAAAAGATAATAAGGATTCTCGAACCGTAAAACCAACGAAAAATGTTTAAAAAAAATAATAAAATACTCTTCAAAATGTAAAATAAAGATAGATGTTAATATGCGAAACCCCGAATCAATCATTTTTAATTGCGGTAACTTGTAATTGGTTTCCAAAGCCGATTTTGACTAAGCAGTATCGGACTAACCGTAAAAAAAAAGTCCACGTATCAAAGATCCAATTCCTACCTGAAATATCCTTTTTGTCTAACGGAGACAAAACATCGCACTTCTCGTCAGCTAAGCAATTTATGTGGCGATCACATGTTGAAGTCAATTCCTTCTGTGGAACGAAACCAAAGAGAGAAAAGAAATATTAGAAAATGTTTATCCTGTACTAATCGTATGCTTACCGTATCGTTATTTATTAAATAAGTTTCAATGCCTAAGTTTTCTTGTTTTTGGAATATGTTATCGGTGTAGTGAAGCTGATTGCGCGAAGTCTTCAAGAGTTGACGAAGATTGTTGGCCTCTTGGTCGGAATCGATAACGTTCATGGTGGTGAAGCATTTCCTGGGGAACTGAGGAGAGAACTCCAGGTGACTGGATTGAGCAGACCAATCTGACTGACTGCCGAAATGTGTTCTGTAATCTTCTCCGAACTCCCAAAGTCTTCTAGCAGCGTCTGAATCGGGCGCCTCGCTATAAGCTTCAGACGAGTACTTCTCCTGGTAACCATCCCAAGCTTCATCGCAAGGAATGGACTGTTCTTCGTTTGTCGTCAAACTGAATTTCCCCGGGCTGTCGTCTCTTTCACCTTCCACAGCGAAATTTGTTTTAGCACCAAGCTTGAACATCGGCATCCTAGAATTTTTTTTAGTTTTAATAATAAGCTCAAAGCGTCGAAGCGCTTCAGAAATAATACCTTCTAGCGCGTTTATCTTCATCCGTGTCAGCACCACTAGTAGCAGAAGTTTCGAAATTTTGTCCAACCGGAGTTGCGGATGGATCGCTCACCGTTTGGCGGTCGCAATTCGAAGACTTGCAGCCGCATCCTGAGAATGAACCTGATTTCACCAAAGTGCCAGACCTGAGTTCACGACTGGCGGCACCGTTGTAAGGAGACGCACTATCCATCTTCCTCAAAACCTGATCAGTAATCAACAGAGCGATAGAGATATTCCTTGTAATACGATTAACGGCAAACTTACGCAACTGGCTTTCTTCTTCAATTTGAACCGCTTCCGTCTGATCGGCGAGCTATTCTCCTCGTTCAATATGGCACAGCTGTCTTCCACGGTCGACGATGTGGAATTTCCCTGATTGTTGCTGAGGCTTCCTGTTAATGGCATAGTGTGCAGAGCGGATTCCGAAATAGAGTAGGTTGGCGCATCCTGTTCAATCCTATAACACCAATAATCCAATTTGTATTTCGTTAAGGTTTAGAGCTTTTAATTACCTTTGCGACGATTTTGAAAGTTGCGTGATGCAAGCGATGGACGAGGGGCGCTGCCCTTTGATGTTCGATTTCTGGTGTCTTTGGCGATACACCACTTTAGGCGTGGACACGAAGAATCCACCCAAATCAGTGCAGGAGGCATTCAAGGACTCCCGCGCCTTGTAGGTGGCAATGCTCTCGTTCTGCTCCTCCGAAGACTCAGATTCATTCTCCTCGTCTTCGCTGCTGGCGTCGCAACTGTCCTCCGGCTTGTTGTTATCCATATTCAACCACTGCTTGATGCGAGTCATCTTGTTCAAAGCCGGTTCGCCGGTCGGGTTTCCGACGCGTTGCTTTATTGGGCTAACCATCTCTTCAACCTCCTGCACAATCTTCCGGTAGTCTGGGATTTTGTTAGGGGTTTTCTGAGAGTACGTCCACTCCTCCTCGGAAGTTTCAGAATTGGTCTGCGCCTCCGCCTCCAACGCGATGTTCTGTAGTTGCTCAATCTTCTCCATGTCAGAATCCGTGTCCACGTGCTTGAAATAAAACATGACCCTATTGGGTGCGTTCTGGTTCGATCTATTGAAAAAAAAAACAAAAAATTAAAACACCTTCATCGCCTCTGGTAACGCTGCACCACGTACATGTTGAATTGTGCGTCTTCTGTTTCTGGCCTCCTGCTGGTGTCGTTCTCCTGGTTACCGCTCATTGTTCCGTTTTCGTGATTGCCATCGGTTTCATCAATATCATTCTGGAAAATGTAAATATTTAGTTTCTCCGTCGCTCGAGGAAAATGGATTTGATCGATCCGCGGGAGCGGAGGGTCCTGCGCGATGCTCGTCCCCCATGCTTATTATTTCGATGCAGAGTGAACGACGGCGGGAAAAGAAAATAAATGAAATAACGAAAATAAAAACGGAACGAGAGCATCACGCGAGCCGGAATGAAAGTATTAAGAAAGCGCATCGAATGTATTATGGAAAATTCGTTTCTTTTAATTTGCTCTTGTTCTCTTCGCTCACCTGCGTCGTCGTGGAGGTGGCCTCTGCGGAAAAACATTCTTTGGAGACTGGTGATCCGCTGCAGAGACGTGGTTGCTTCTTCACTGGACCCTCGTCGGATTCGCTGTCCGAGAACAATGCGTTATTCTGCAAAGCACAACAAATATTGACGGATTACATAAAGTACAGATTGAACCTCAGAGAAGAAGAAAAGCATGTCTAATATTTTTGTTATTTAGGTGGGAGGTAGGAGGAGCAGTAGTGGTAGGGAGAGGAGGAGGTCGAAGGAAATAAACCAAAATAAAAGATATGTATATGTAACGGCACGTTCGGTACTAATGCGCTCTAATTAAAATTAATTAGACGGTTTTATAGAAAGTGAAAGATTATGTAAAACGTGGACGAAATTGAAGAGAGAATTAGAAGAAAAAATATAAATAAAAGTGGTATTGGCACGTTTCTACTCACGCTATACCATAAAACACTAAAGATTCAAATTCGGATCTGGAAGTTAAGCTTCCTGTTACCTTTCATATTTTCATTTTAGTAACAACAATCTTCACTTATATAAGTATTATTTACCACGTGGTGGAGACAGATCAATTGATGAGCGCACGAGGGCCAAGAACCAAATGATTTCCTCGAAGCGCCAAAAAACTGCTCCACTATTTTTATGGAGCAGCACGGCAATGACCCAGATCTCCCATTCTTACGTTTTAGTCAAATTTTGTTCACACTTATACCCAAACGCAATCATCCAAAATAAACGAACGATTGGCAAATTCGCGTAAAATGGATATTCTTCTTCCCGTGCGCTTACCTCATCGAGCCGATGAGCCAAATTTAACGCACACGCACAGACAAGAAGCAGAGATTCTCTAGTTTATTTTGACGGCCCAGCACATTTATCGTCAAAAACACGGAAATCTCCTGCCCATTATTCCGCGCGCTCGATATCGTCCTTGCTCGCTAATTACAAATAGATTATTCACGGTGAGTAATTGGCTCTCTTGGTGAGTTTCGTGCCACTTCGAGAATTCGCGCCATTGGGTAACTTCTCTACTTCTCTCGAAACTATAGACCTATCGCGAAACATTTCAACATCACCGTTAAACAATCTTTTTTCTTGCTATTGCTAACACAGTGTCACTGCTATTCATAGAAACTTTATCATGCTTAGCTTAGCTAACACTTTAGTTCACTGAAAAAGCTTACAACCTTTGTTTGTCTTATCTTTAATTATTTGCACAAATCATAGTATTTCGCTCAAACAATTTGTCGACGCACCTTTCGAATATTTTTTTGTAATTTCCAAATTTAGAAATTGCTGTATAATTTTGAAACTCCTCGTCAAAGCGGAGATGACCCCAAAAACTAGACGTGTGTAGGTGTAAGTACCCCAACTCTGGACAAATATGTACATTTTCTCGTTCATTTCGAAGGTTATTTATGTGTGGTTATAAATGCGAATAGAGAGAATTAATGTAATTATTTGCGCAAACTGGGTGCAACTGCGGACACGCGAAGGTTTACGCAAGTGCATACCGGTTTCCTGTCGGGCGGATTTAGAAATAATTTCATTATTTGAGCAGAGCGAGCATGAATCACCTACACCTCGAATCGATATAGAAACAGCGGCAAAACTGATTATCGATTTAACGATTTGAGCAAACCGAATACGCTTTAATCGATATGCAAATATCAATACATTTTATTGAGTTTCGTTACAACTGGATAAGGTACTTACTGGATACATACTAGGTTAGAGCAGAGCCAACGTCGACTGTTGCAAAACAGAAAATCAATTTAGTGAAGCGCATTTGCCTCTCTTGTGTATATATATATATATAAAACGTGTTGTAACCTCTACCTGGGTTCGAGGAAACTTGCATGCATTTCACCCTCAAGGAACTTTTTTTCATGCCTTCTCTTCCTCAGGTAGATATATCGCATGTAAATTACGTGAGCAATCGAACCGAGACTACCCAATATTTTTGTGAAAACAACAGAAGCGTTATTATAAAATAGTCTAATTGTTACCATTAGCTAATTAAAGTTAGAAATAAGCATACAATTGCGCGGGAAGGAAACGGCAAACGGGATGCCGCTTCCACCAAGTAATCAAATGCACTCAATGCATCTTTTTTCTCAGTACTAAAATACCTGGATTTTACGACGGAAAGATCTTAAAGGTGGCTTAACAGTTATTATTCCGGGAAACGCACCGAGCGGACGTCTGCTTTGATAATGTCAATACCGTGATGGAAAATGTAAACATTGTCCATAGAAATAATAGTTCTCTTGAAATATAACAAACTTTAAATAATTATATTAAAAACAATTTACGATAGTTACACTAATTCTCCGAAACGTTTTCTAATTTAAACCCAACGATCGTTACTTTATTAATGGTCGGGGGCAATTGAAAACTTACTCTATTGCTTATTCCCATTTCTATCGATTGCAGTTACTTTGAAAGCAGGTGTTTTATTGTTCACTTCCAACGAATACGTATATATAAATAGATTCGCCCTAATCCCAGCTATTTTTACGAGCAGAAAGTTCTGGAAACTTTATATTCTAGGAATCATCATCATCGCCGTAAATAAAAATGTTCAAATCATATTCAAAAAGTGATAATATAAGAAACATTTCTTATTATAACTAGCACATATATACAAACATATGTAGTGGTTGCACCATTTCCCATGGTTTCGAAATAGACCACCGAAGACATTTTGTTTATACAATACCCGATTTGTCCGACGCTTCTCACGCTTCACAGCCAGCTCAATTCTAAAGCAAATTTTTTGTTTATTTTAAATGTTTCCTCAGTCGCTTGTTAAATTCAAATCTATTGAATATATCCCTTTCATATTTGTTAATTTCATTGTATTTGTAACTGGTTTCCTGGTTTTTGTTTATAGATTACAGCAAATTAACAAACTGTTCGTTTACATATAAAAACAGAATATGTTTATACCAGCAATTACAAAATAGATTATGAAACTTTGTTTATTCGGCTGTATTTTTATTTCACTTTTTCAAGTAAATGCAAATACAGATACTTTATCGGTAGTTTCACATAAATATACTTGATTTCTTACCATTTACGTGGTTAAACATGCCATATTTACTGCAGTTTATGCAAGTGTGCTCAGGTAACATAATATTTGTTCAAGATCCGGTCTTTTCAGTTGGATAATCATTGAAGTTTATAAAATGTATATACATTTAAGCAATACTTGCAGAAGTGTGGACTTAAATAAATATTGAATACGCAATGGAAATACCGAAGCGAAGAGTGTAATTTATGAGTTTAAAAGTAAACACTTTTTGTATAATTGTATGTAAGTTACCGTTATGAATTATCGATAGGTCCAGATTTAAATGGCTCGAGTTTCATTAGAACCCAGCTGCAGGAGAAAGAAAATGAAAGACGGTGAAAGAGTTCCTGGGTGGTCTTCGTGCGGTTCAGTAATCTTTTGGGCACCAAGCGAATTTATCCTCCGATCAAAATTTGCTCAGAGTTCAAAAATAATAATAATATATCAGGTATTGCGAAAACAATAGATTGTTTGTTCGACTCGAAATGATTTCACTGCGTTGATATTGAATTAGCACGTATTTAAAATTATAAAATATTGCTAATCTTGTTTACACATTGATCTTCCTAATTGTGATTTCCATAATTAGGATTTTTCCATAATATTTTCATCACTCATAAAATAGTTTGAATAATAGTGATTAAAGGACAATTAAGGAACAAAACATTATTTATGGTTTCAGTTATATGATTATTTTAACGGTCACGGGCCTCACGTGGCCCGAGGGCTGCGTTTTACAAACACCTGCGTTCATTTATTTATAATTTTTTTTCAAAACACGTGCGTTCTCATCGATGATTATAGAAAATACGTGTTTGAACTTACGTGATTATTAAATACATTACTAATTGATTTCAATTAATAGTACGGGGTAGTTTCTTTTTAAATAAATTATTCATGAATTAATGATTTGCGCAAATAGGGAAATCTTTTTGTACAGCGCTTTCTTTTTTATATATATATAGAAGTAATTGAACGCTCAATTGTGCAAATAATCAAATGATTCACTCAAACAGAAAATTATCGATATTAACATTCCTAGGGTGCACACTTTCTTTTATCAAAATAATGAAATTAAATGTTGTGTTTTAAACAAATAATTAGATAGTTTGCGCAAACAAGGAGTTATCTATCATCCAGTTCTTTTGTGTTTGCAGAGATTTCGTGTTATATTTGTTGAAGGGAAATGACATTTCTTCATTTAGGTATGAGCAAATAGTCAAATTAACGTTTGCTTTTAACGGTTTTAATTTACTATTTTCACATTTAACAATATGTAAATTTATATTCAAATAATTAGATAAAAATACTCCATTTTTAAATAATTATTTAATTATTGTAATTTTAACGAGAAAATAAAAATATTATTAAAGTAATTTACTTACACAAACAAGTTTTTAAATTAATTTGAAACTTTGCATAATAAAATCACGTTGAAAATTGAAATTAATATGAAACTTAAAATTCGGTATTTTTATCACTATAGCAGTAGTTTAACTAATATTAATCATGTTGATTATTTGTTTCACTTTAAACTTCCACGTAACGTTCACTTTAACTCGGTTAAGGAAATACCCCGGATTACAAACTTTATATTCTGTCTACAACTAAACTCAAGTTAAGTCTTCATTTGTTTGGTAGATTCACAAAGGGGGCATTTTTTTGTAACCTGTCTTGCCGCACAGATGGCAGACTGTGGAGGATTCCGAAGGGGGAAGAGCCTGAGCCATCCACGTGCGGCCGCAACAACAGGTTCCCAAAAACAACACGAGAACAAAAAAAAAAGGACGATGCGAAGAAGTAGAAGAGAGGAGTAATATAACGAAGCTCAAAGACCCGAAAAACGAGAGAGAAGCTTCGGGCTTTTAACTAATTTAATGTTGAAATAATTGTTCAGTAAACAAAGTCCGGTTCTTACCTGTATTACCACTTGGGTAACGTTTAGAAACAAAAATATATATTTATATATATAATAATATGTGTCTGTATCTAAATGAAAAATGTATTAATTAATCCTTGACAAGGCACGTGGGCAATGGTACTCTTTTATTGCTTTATTTCTTTCCTCTCGAGGAGAGAGAAAACTTTGAGTCACTTTCACAGCCGACGGTCGGCAAGAGTCATGGTTGATGTTGTTGATGTTGACTGTTCTACGGCCGAGTCTCGACTGAGGTGGTGCAGCTTGTCGGCGGCTCGAACTTCGGGAACCCACGAGCCGGTAAAGCAACAACGGAAACTCCTCTACTCCTTTTATCCAGTTTACTCTTTTTCCATGCTTCCATCCATTCTACCTCTCATGTTTTGTTCTAATTGCACTATTACGTGCACGTGGACTCTATGGTACCACTCCGGAAACGAATTAAGCTCAACCCGCTTCTGTTGTCATTGTTGTCCCCTTCATAATAATCGATAATTTTTTGATAAAGAAACACTCGAAGGGGGTCTGTCTCTCCCATGACCACATTGAAGCCCAATTCAAATATGTATTATAAATATATTATATTATACCGGTATATTCAAAGCGAGAGAGATGGAAACTTACATCCTGCGATCAAAGGTTTAATGTTGCTATTTTTACGCCAAACTCAAGGTTACTTGTCGCAACCAAATATATATATATAAATAAATATAGAGAAAAGCAACAATAAATCCGTTCGACTGTCGCTCCAGATGGAATCGATAAGGTGCACGATGCTCAGTTCACTTCCCGTGATAACGGATTTTGGATGAAATTAAAAACACAAAGTCGAAAAGTAGCATCAACATCTGAAGCGAAACGGCTTGCGCAACGCGATGGAAAGTAAACGAGGAGAAAGAGTGTGTACATATATTAAATGGTAGCCGGAGTGGAAGTATTTCGACACGCGAGTCGAAGCATCCAAGTGGAAGGAAGGAAAAACTGAGGAGGAACAAGGGCATACGCCGAATAAATAAAGCGATGGGCTTCGTCTGCAAATCTCCATAACTTTATCCAATACAAAGAGTACGACTATGGTAACGATGACATCAGCATCAACAACAAAAAAAGAACAACGGACAACAGCATTTTCGACTAACAGTAATGGCAATTTAGTCCGGTTCTTTTGTGCTGCTTCCGCCACTCATTTTTTTTTTCCTGCTGATAACTCTAACTCATCTACTCACTTTTTTGAAGTAGTTCTCGAAGTAGCATTGCCATTCCAACGAGCGCAAAAACAGCAGGTGCCAGCGCCTCTCCAAACCGATGACGACGTCGAGCGTGGACCGGCCGCAATCTGAACTCCTTCTGCACAGTTTCACCACAGAGCTGACGATCTTCCCGTGGTTCTCGATGTCTCTATGCTGTACCTGCAAACCAAACAGAGGGCACTGTTTACATTTTCCTTATCACTGATAAATGTCGAGGGGGAGACTATCAACCTGATAACCGCGCCCTCGATCACGCTTCCATTTCATACACTAATTCATTTACTCTTCTCTCTCTTTCTCTTGTACATATTTTTTTTTGTTTAGTCGATGTTTGTTTTTGTTTTGTAATTATTTTCCTGGCTGCAACGGACATTTCGGGTACACCGGTGTGTTTCTAAATTGTTTCTAGTTGGTTGACTCCGAACGCCGACAGCAACACAGCGACGTGTTTCACTTTCGAAATTTGCCGTGTCCCAGTATTAATTGAGACCCGTTCCCAACGATCCCAATCCCATTACTATTTGGCATTAAGTAGCACTTCGAGATCTCGAGGTGTTGATAGATGAAAAGCAGAAGTAATGACACGAGCAATTTAAATAACATGAAAAACCTACAATCATCAACCATTCTCATAAACATTTTAACATGTGGAACTTCAATATGCTAGTACTCTTGTTACAGTACATACAACATCAACATTATTTAGAACGGACATCATGAAGAATTCTTAAGACCACAAAATAAAAGATAAAATTTAGTACATGTATACCAAAATTGTTATAACAATATACAACTTAATAGCTATAATTGAGATGTCAGTTTTTTTGTGTGAAATATTATACTGACTTTTTTTTTTTGAAAAGGTATACATCATCAATTATGTTATAGGAAATGATGTATCGATCGTGCACTCAATTACGTTTCCATTTTGAACCCGCGAGGTCAAGCTTTTTGGGCGAATTGAGATATTCCGAATTTGTGATGAGAAATTAGAAAGTGATTTATTGCCTTTTGAAATGATTACTCTCTGTGCCATTTTCCACAACATAACAAATCACAAAACCCATTGAATTTAGAAGCTCATACCGCCTACACAAATCGAAAACGATAAATAAACAAAACACCTATTCGGGTCGCAAAGACCTTGCGGAAGCAAAAATCCTAAGCTGCCTGCACACGACGTTCGAAAGTAAAATATTTTTGCTTCTCTCCTTGACTTTTGAAGCGAACTCTCGGCTTGTCTCTTGAAACTTATAGTTCTCTACACTCGGATAGGAATTCGCAAAGTTTTAAATAAACAAACAAAAAAAATCATCATCATAATAATCTACGTTTTCTTAAACAACATTTATATGTATGTAAGTACATAACCGGTAAGAGATATAAAAAAGTAAAATCGTGATGCTTGTTCGAATACTCATAAAATAATATCGAATGCATCCGAGTCATTTTAGCATTGCTCTCACACACACACACACTTCAAATGTAACTTTTGTGGTGCTCTATTTGAATGTTATGAAGCTATTACATCTAATTCATCTCAACGAGCGTTATTTATGTCTTAACAACCCGCATGTTTCCGGGCTAACCCAGATCATCCATTCAAGAGTTCCCACTTGATACATCAATATTTCATAACGTTCAATTACATTTGTATTTATAATTAACAATTCCAACCAATTAAACATAGTCAATTATAATTATTCATAAAGATGATGATCTAATTATCTAAGAAATATTATAAAGAATTGATTTAAAATTTAATTATATAAACACAAATCAATTGGAAGATTGAAAATCGAACATGTTATAGTGAGTGAATGTGTGTGGAGCTAAGATAAAGAAATTGATGTGTGGTTCATTTCCATGGTATTCGGAAGCAAGTTAAGTGAGTGTTGAAGTGGCAGACGATCTTTAAGTGAGAGGAAGAACAGGCCTGGAGACAGATTTAGTATGAAATGAGAAAGTGTTTTTGTTTTCGTACGTGTTGTTATCGTGACAAAGATTTTAAGTAGAAACTTTGGCAAGTTGAAGAATACTGAAGTAATACGGATGATGGCGTGAATGCATTCGGCACGCACTATTAAGCAATGTGAGTTTAAGATGCAGAGGTATGGAAGGACCAAAGAAATTAGAAAGTTCCTCTGCGGTTGGAGTGCATTAGAAATTTAAATTTTCGAGGTACCGAAATATTTGAGCAGGGCGGGTAAGGTCACCGGGATAAGCAAGGACTATTGGAACGAGATCGAGTAGAAGTTACAGGATGAGCAAGAAGAAGGTTGTAATCAGATTAAGGGTCGATTTGTGAGCTCGCCGAGCGAGCGTGTCGAGTATACCGAGTGCAACGAGAGAGCTCGTTGCACTTTCAGCCTGCGTTTCAATGAACTTTTGCATTGTTGAGCAACAGTCGTTCGTGGGCGGATTTGCCAAAACGATTCTGAATGGTGTGTGTGTGTGTGTATGGTTATGGGTATGGATGGATGATGGCGTGTGTAAAACCTTATTATATTTCATTAGCTCGTCGTTACCCAATTCAACACCAATAGCGGGAGGAAGAACAATCCCGATGCGAAACAATCCTTTCTCTCCGTTTGCTTCTCTCCTGACTCGGTGATGTAATTGCCTGGGAGAGAGAATACTACTCAATTTAATTTCCGTGGGCGTAATTTTGGGTCGACGACACCCGTTCGCAATGCATTCCAGATATTTCGCGCGCGCTCACTCGAAATACACTTTGTGAAATATTTACTCTAGTTTTAGATCGCGTTTAATTCAATCGAGCTTATTCACTTCGCCTAATTCCAACTGGATACGCACATTGCCATGTAACCATATCATTACTTCTATTTATACCGGTTGTCCCAACTTGTCCCAATTTCTTAGGTGGTACACATTGACACAAATTGAATTCAGAATTCATAAAACAAATTAATGATCATATTTTATATTGTGATACAAAGTATTTAATACACGTAAAATTGCGCATAACCAAATGCGCTAATTGTCCTTTCACCAATCAAATATAAATTAAGTAGTTGAGACAACGCGTTTCTTTTATATAATGATGCATTGAAAATGACGATTATAATTATAAGCAGAAATATTGTAAATACATCAAGCATATCATTTCGACTAATATAAATATTACAAAAACATAAAAGCTGGCTCACATCCAAATTATATATACTTACAGAAATAAATAAAAATATGCTGTAATCACTATTTATATATTGGATTTAAATTTGATCATCAAACTTATTTTGAAATTTGAAAATCTGTATTTTACGAATTTATAATCGTATCGAATTAAATTGTAGATGAAACATGTGTGTTTGGATGGAACAGAAATGTTGTTTGTATGCATGTAATAAAATAAACACGCGTTGATTTGTTACGGCGGTAATGCGAGGCTGCAAATATTGTTGCTATAATTAAAATAAACAGTTTGCGCTGGATTGAAATTGAGAGAAACCAGAAAAATGGACGGGATACATATATATCCTGAATGCTTCGTAAATATATCCGTAAATGATAGATGCCATACAAAGTGATGGGTAACTATATCCTCTGATATTAGCTATAATTACACTAATCATTGATGCCGCTTACTCGAATCGTGAATATTCAGCTCCAGTTGATTACTGACATTGGAAAACGCGAGATGTAAACTAAATCACAACCTCCCATTAAACCGGAAGTCCAAATAAAACGATTTTCCAAAAATAATAAAAAAAAAAACTACAATTATAAAAGCAATTTATTTGTGTATTACTAATAACATTTTTTTTTTATTAACAACGTTGGTAAATATAATTATTGTTACGAGTAGGAAAAAAAAAATGAATTAAATGGAACGAAATGATACACACGTTTGTCGATGCGATCGAAAAGTCACGGTGAAAATTGAATTTATTGCTTAGTTATTCAACGGAATTTCGTTGCCGATGTAACCGAAACATAACAACCATACGAATGTTTCTTTACGTATTCAATTAGATGCGATGTAAGATCAAAAACAGTTCATTAAAATATTTGAAACGAAAAGCGCTGACAACAGAAGTATACATAAATAAATAATACACAGCGAAATGTGAAAGTTGCACAAGTTTTTGTGATAAATTATTGGAGCCAAAAGGAAGTTTTACATTTTTGTTACGTGAAAACAAATTAACTTTGACTAGTCGTGTTCTGATTCTTCTGAATATAATACATATATTTTTTTTGTGTGTGTGTGTGTCCGAGTTTCGCAATTTTCACTTTCGAGTGGTTTGGCTAGGTCAGGAGGAAGCCATCCATTATGGTTTCAGGATCAATTAACTAAATGATGTATCGCTTCCTTCTTGTCTCTCTCTGAAGTATACTTGAAACCTCGATTAATCTCGAATAATCAAAACACCGCAATATTATTTCAATAAGCATAATAAATTCGATTTTATAGAGTGAGGTTTTCCTGCCTGTCAAGCATACAAATATTAAATAAATTATTAGTAAACTATTAAGTTTTGATTGCATTTATGCAATAGAAATACCAAAAATTTCACTTTGAAAAAATCTTTTAAATAGATTTTAAAATGTAAATTATACAAATGAAGATTCATTTGTAGATGTGTAATTAATATCTTCACAGTAGATTATGCACTTTCATAGTGGTATATCATGTCGCATTTTCTTTTAGTTACACACGCATTTTCATAACACGTTTCTGAATAAAGTAACTTAATTAATTAAATACTTGTTTTACACAAAGGGATGACCTGAATTACTATTAATTCTATTGTTTTTTTTGTGTGGATTGGATTAAATTGTACAGCAAAGAGGTCTAAAATAATTTGATTGTTAACTGTAAATTGTGTATAGCATAGAGCCTTCTTAATGAATGGACGTGCAAGGAAATAACCTGCATTGCGGTTATCTGTATTCGCATAGGTCTAAAAATAGTAGTGGCAGACGACAAATCCATTTATTATGTATATGCAATGTGCATGAATAACAATGGATGTTACGGGGCAAACTAATAAACGCTGAGAAAGTCGTCACATCGGAAAACGACTATTCGAATGGAAATTGCACAGACGATAAATGCTTTGCATTTAAAGAGTTTCGAAGCGGCGCACGCGGATGATGATGAATAATACGTAAAAGGTCCTTCGCGGACGATATGTATGTGTATATTATACATATAC